AAAATCAAAATGTCACGAATATGGTATGGAGACTTCCAGAATTAGATAACGGTGAAATAAACCAGAAGCCATGTTTGCATGCCTGCTGCCTCAGGGAAAAGATCTTCCCCTCCTCCTATGTGTGTAGGTTGTGGATGAGAAAACACCACTGTGCTGTTGTCTCAAGGCCTCCGTAGTCATCTAAGTGGCAGGCTCTTCAGAGCATGTCTTCTGGCCTCTTTGATTTGCACAGGTGGACACCAGATTGAGCAGCAGCAGGCCTGGTGGCCCAGATGAAGCATGTCGCTAGCTGAACTGTCCACCAACAGTGAAGCACGCTGGGCGGAGACATCAAGGGCAGTTTACTTAGCGGACATCCAAGTGTGCCAGTCTGAAAAATAGCCCTTTTGCATCTTGTTGGTTTGTACTCCCTGATGAGTATCAGTGTGTGTGGTTCTGGGAACAGCCCTGGCCCCTCTCAGGCCTTCCCCAGCAAGATCAAAATCCAGGACATATGGTGAAGAAGACTCACCACTGGAACTGCAGTTGCTTTGTCTGATGCGTGTGGGAAAAGTACAAACTATGGTTCAGACTTTTCACAGGGGCTCAGTGGCGTTCAAAATTCACAACTAAACCTCATGGGAGGCTTCCTGGAGGAAGTGGTACCCAAGGTTGAGTCTAATAGGTAAGGAGGAGTTAGCAAGATAGGCTAGGAGAAAGAATGTTCTAGTAGTGGAAATAGCTCACTCAAAGGCCCCAGACGTCACCCAGCTGCGGTGCACAGGAGAGAGTGGGAGTGAAGATGGATGGGTGACAAGGAACAGATTGTCAAGGATCACAGTGACACTCTGGTCCTGCCTAAGGCTGCCTGTCTTCGCTGTCACCAGGGCACAATGGTACGCTTAACAGATGCTGGCAAGGAAGCATGACCCATCATATTTTATAGCATGGTGTTTACACACACGTATACACACACACACACTCCAGAATTCAGAGAGAAAACTGTTTTCTTACTGTCAGACACACATCAGCTGTTCAGTATGAGCTGTCTAAGTCTTTAGTTTCGTTTTCACAATTTTTTCAAGTAAGAAACCAAAACAAAAATAATGCCCCCATTTATATAGACGTCACCCACAATTCCTTCAGGTTGCTGTCACCTCTCACTTCCATTTTATTTATACAAGAGGACACAATCACATCCTGCTGTCTGGCGAGAATGCGGTCTGCGAGCATTGCCCATTCGCAGGATGCAGTGATTCTGACTCTCGGTGAGGATCTGTACTCAAGACATCATTCTGTATTAGGATTGAAACCTAGTGCCATTGTCCTTGGCTTCTCGTCAGCCTTCATTGTCCGCCACGTTCAGGGAATCCGGTTTCATCCCATGCTTATTCAGTCCCAGTCCCGCTGGCCTTGATGAGCTCCCAATAGATCAGATCCACTGTCACAGCGGGTGGGTGCACCCCTCATGGACCTGACTTCCTTGCTCATGTTCTCCCTCCTTCTGCTCCTCATTTGGGTTTTAAGAGCTTAGTCGGGTGCTGGCTGTGTGGGAGCCTAGCCTGTTTGGATGCTCACCTTCCTGTTCCTGGATAGAAGTGGGAGGACCTTGGACTTCCTGCAGGGCAGGGAACCTGGACTNGGGGGGGGGGGGGGGGGGGGGGGGGGGGGGGGGGGGGGGGGGGGGGGGGGGGGGGGGGGGGAGGGGGAAATGTGTGGGAGGAGGGGGAGGGAAATGGGAAACGGGAAGGAGGTGGTAATTTTCAAAAGTAAATAAATAAATAAATAAAATGTCAAAAAAAAGAATTTATAAAGAAAAATACATAATACATTTTATACAAAAAAAAAAAAAAGACATCATTCTGTCATCTTATTGTGACAATGAGACTGAGCTAGGTCACAGTGCCCAGAAAATGGGTGGAAGCCCCAGTCACTTGCCCATCTCCACTGAGCGGTCCTGCCATACACATTCCTTTATGGCTCTTTTCTATTCCCAGGAAGGCAAAGGGATTTCTTTCTCCAGGCCCAAACCCATCCTCTTGAGCCTTTTGAGACAGGATCTCAACTGGTGACCCAGGATACTCTTGAACTTCCAATTTTCCTGCCTCAGCTTGCTACATGCTCGAGTTAAAGGCATGTACCATCACACCCAGCTAAGCTGTTCTTTTGGATGTTTTATATTCCTGAGGTCCACAAGCAATTGAAAAGCATCTCCTGGTCTCTGAAGGCTGGAGCAGGGCTTGCTTGACACGCCCGCAGTCGACCTCCAGTACCCAGTTCCACTCTGAAGTGGGTAGCCCGTCAGCAGGGCTCTCCCTGCACCTGCCCCTGGGGAGGATGAGAGAACCCACACTAAAGGCTTTTTGCCTCTTACTCCTACCACAGAAAGCCTTAATGGCCGAGGCCACCTGTGTTTTCCCAAGAGCTCATTTAAGCCCTTGATCTACTCTAGAGGGCCTCTCTTTAGATGGCCAAGGGAGAGGAAAGCATCCTGGAGCTCCTTTCAAAAGCTACCCGTGGAGCCAAGAATAACAGCTCATTGCACACAGGCAGGGACCTGCAGTGGGCGGGGGTTGGGGGGAGACATGACCAACTCATTCAACCCTGAGGATCCCAGGGAGGGACCCTGGGTTTGGGGCCAGCAGGTCAAGTTTCCTGGAAGCAAACCTAGTCTGCAGCCTGTGTGAAGTTGAAAGCAAGATGAAAATTTAACATTTGAAAACTGCCTGATACTGCTGCCATTCTGAGTATCTTAAACTTGAGAGTGCATATGAGCCTTCATCTTAGGTTTTGAGACAAGATTAGCTTGGGCTCCAGTGAGTCATTTCAGGGCAGGCCTGGAGTGCAGTCTTCCCTGTTTCCCCTCTCTCTCTCTGGCTGACCTTGCTTCTTCCCCACGTGAGGTTGTTTTCTGTACTGGGAGGAGCACTGGCCGCAGACCACACATGTGTGGCTCTGAGGCAGAGAGCCATACGCAGTGCAGCTCTGCTTTTCTGAGAGGTGACGAGCTGGGCAGGGTAGGCTCATGCTCTCCTTCATCTTCCATAAACTCCTACAGCTGCTTGTCCTCATCGAATATTCCTTCCGTTTCTCAAAAGGGAGGGAGGGAAAGCTCTGGCCATGGGAACATGGACCCTTTGAGACGGTGTGTGAAGATGCTGGGCTGCAGAATCACGGATGTCTTGAAAGCTCGAGGAAATGTAAAGCACGTTTTTAAGGAGAACGACTCCAGTGTGTTTGCTCGTGCACTGCATAGGAAGCAGGGTCCAGAGAGGCTCAGCACCCACTCCAGCTGCACACCACCACATCTCCAAGTCTCTGTTGCAGCCGGAGACAGTGGGCCCTAATGGTTAGAGAGGCTCGGGATGTCATCACGACCCTCCTTCCGCATTTAAATTTCAAGTGAGTCTTGTCCTCTTCTGACCTGGGAAGGAAAGTGGTAACTTGTGCTCTCACTGTCAAGTTGAGTTTTCATTTGCCCTGTGCTCTTTTAAACTAGGTACACGGGGAGAGAGGAATTCAAAGGCAGCCCTAAGACCTCAGTCATTGGTCCAGTGCTGTTTAGACACAGTGTCCCCCTCCTGGATCTGACATTGAGAGGGAGCTCAGCTACACACGCTCACTACCTGACATGCAGGAGTGGGTAACCACTGGGCGTGGTGAAGAGGCACTGGAGGCGTGTGGGATTCCATCGTGGTCCGCTCACAGCGCCTGCCACCTGGTGGAGACTTTTCGAGCCCCATCTCTCTCTCCGCTCTTCCCTTATGTCTTTCCTTAGAGGTGGTTTTGAGAGGATTATGTCACCAAAACCAAACAGCACATCAGTACATAGCAGCTTTCAACAGAGACCAGCAGCTTTGAGGGTGTGGATTAGTTACTGTTCTCAACACTCTGATCAGAGGCCTGACAAGAAGTAAATAACAAGGGAGAAGGATTTATTTGGGCTCATAGTTTGAGAAGAAGACAGTCTATCAGGGCAGGGAAGGTGTGGCAGCTGGCGTTCTCTCTGTCATGGCAGGAGATTACAACTGCCTTTCTGCAGAGCACCAACCAGGAAGCGGGGCTTCACCGTAGCCTTCAGGCACTGTCCCCGGCAGCAACTTATGCCAACTGACCCCACCTAAAGGTTTCAGAACTTCCCAAGACACTGCCACCAGCCAGAGACTAGATGTTCAAACACAAGAGCGGTTTAGGGGGACAGTTCATCTTGAAACCATACCAAATAATCTCTAGACTTTATTTCCCTGGACCAGACATCATGATGCTGACTCCTGACCAAACAGATCTGCCCCTGTTCTTAAGCAGCCAAGTCTAGAAGAGGAGGAAGACGCGAGCCAGTGCAGGATCAGCATGCTCCACTTTAGTGTGTGTGTTCTCTGGCAGGAGTTGTCATTTACAGATAAATTCACTCCTCCGGCAGTGAATGTGATGGGGTCATCCTCACAGTAAGATTCATGAAGTTTTTGATGATGACGAGGATAAGTACATTTTGTGATGTCATACAAGTGTAAGTGCTTCTTCCTTCCCTTGTTTTGCCTTATTTTCTTTGTATTGTAAACAGAGACAGCAGAAAACTGTCAGTCACACCTCTCTGTGACATCTCATGGTGAATAGGACTCCACCACAGTCTGCCACAACACAGAGAGCAGGCTGGGGGAAAAGCAGCCCCACCTGTGCCCATGCGGTCCTGGAGGCAGTGAGCCAGGTTCTCTCAGATCCCTTACTTAACACCGTGGCTTGCAATCTGCCCTCCAGCTTGACGGAGAAGGACTCTGTGGCCAGAAAGCTCAGTTACCTTGTCTCAAGTACGAGAGAGCTGTTCATGATTTCAGAGGACCAGGGACCTTACAGGATGCTGGAGGAGCAGCCTTTTCAGAACAGTGAAGAAGGCCAGGATGAGGGGAGCTATGGGACAGTCTTCTGGCTTTGGTCATGCTCTGTGAACAATGCATTAGTCTAGACTGTATGGGAATCCACTTCTGTGTTCCTTAGCTCTTGCCTATATCTTTATCTGCCCTCAGGGGAGCTGCTGGCCCCAGGATGCCCTGGGTTGGCCCTGCTCCTGCTGCTGGGAACTGGCCCCCAGAGCCACCTCTGTCCCAGCTGTAGTTGTCTGTTACCAGCCTCAGGAGGATGCCTGAGGTAAGGTGTCTCTGCACTTTCTGATACTGCCACCTAGGCCTGCACTTCAGGACAACCCCCCTACCCCATCATTCGTTTGACACCCCTAGTCTTCCACACTTCCTGTCTCCAGCTCTTTTCTTCTGAGCCTAAGAATCTCGGTCTCAGTAAGAAAGGACCTGCCCGTTTGAGAGCCACACAGATTTCCGTCGGGCCTGTGGCTGCTTTTCTCATCACAGTTTGAAAGCTTGGGATGGAACTCCAGAATGCTGTCAGCTTTCCCCTGGCACCCACAAGTGCCATTTTTCTCCACCACAGGCTCTGTGTGCCAGTACTTTGCCACTGTTTGTTCCTTTCATCTTTAAGTAGTCATTTGGAGGAGAGAAATGGCACATGTAAAAAATTACATGAAGCCTTCAAAGTCTGAAGACCAAAACATGGAGCTGCTCATGTCCACGCTGAGCACACAGAAGGCATGGGGACCGCTCGTCTCAGCCCATGAGCACAGCACCCAGTTAACGAAAACAGACTAAGGCCTAGGGGAAATAATCCATTTTGCAGACATGTACATGTTTTATATTTATACCACCACCTCATTCCAAAAGAACCTGAGATAGCTTTAGGAGAAGTATTGGCATATACAATCAGAGCTCAGGCTTTATTGTCAGAATGGCTTCTGCCTATACAGACAGTGTCCTGCCCTGTCCAGTGATGGCTCTGCCTGAGGCTCCAGAATCAATGCTTTTCTTAGGGTTAAAGGTATTTCCCTTGCTCAGCAGTGGATAAACAGCTAGAGGTTGTTTGACTCAGAGGAGACTCTAGAGGGGGCTCTAGGATGCAGCCTGTCTCTGGGGTCACCTCCTTGCCCCAGCCTCATCCCTGAGTCAGGCTTGCTCCCAAACTAGAGCCCATCCTCAAAACGTGTATTTCCCAGCTCTTTCAGGCCCTGTGACCTTCGGTCTTACCCTGGTCCTCTTGATAGCAGTCTCGCTTTCCACTCTACTTCCTCCTCCTACAGTAGAAGGACAAGAGTGGGAATTTTGAGCTCAGTAGATCTGGGAGGTCCGCCTTTTACCGTCCTTGAAACCTGAAAGCTTGGCAACTTACTTAGCTGCTATTTCCTTATCTTTAAATGGGGGGTGTGGCTGCTGTAGCAGCCTCAGAGATCCACATGCATAAGGGTGGGATAATGCAGTGCCGATAGAGTACTTCAGATAGAATCCAGCACACAAATCCTGCAAGGTTACCATCTTCTGTAAACAATACGCTCCTGGAGCCCACTGCACACCATCATTCAGCTCCCAAGACCTGTAAACAATCATCCCTTCAGACCAGCTCTGCTCAGTGCTTCTACCCCAGGAACTCCCGTGTTGTTCACTAGACACACCCCTCAGCTGCCCTCCTTCCTGCTCTCTGCCCACTCTCCTGATTCTTTACAAAGCAGTCCACTTACTGTCGCCCAGCTGCAGCCCAGGCTGCTGCAGACTCCTATGTCTCTCCTAGACTTACCTGTCCCTCCCTCAGCCCTGGTTCTGACAGAAGTGATCATGAAACTCAGGCTGAAGAGCTACAACAATGGGTGCTTTCTTCTAGATTGCCGTATTTCTCTTCATGGAGTGGGGCAGGGGAATCAATCCTTTAGGTGTGTGATGACTATTCTTGGTTGCCAACTTGACCTATACCTGGAGTTAACTAAAACCCAAGCAACTGGATAGAGGGATTTTCCTTGATTGAATCATTTAAAGTGGGAAGACCTTTAATTGGGATCTTTTGAGGTGGAAAGATCCATCTTTAATCTGGGCCTCACCTTTTGGTGGCAGCTTGTGGAGGTGGAAGAAGGAAGCGCTTGCTCTGTCCCCGTTTGCCCTCACTTTCCCTGACAAGTTCATTCCTTCACTGGCTTTAGAGTCCACTTCTTCAGGAGTCTCACATGTAGTGAAGACCAGCTGAGACATCCAGCCTTGTGGACTAAGGAACTATTGCATTCTTGGACTCTCCATTGAGAGACAGTCGTTGTTGGAACAGTTAGTTGAAACATAACCTACAGGACACTCTAAAAAATCCCATTTAGATAGACAGAGAGAAGATAGATAGATAGATAGATAGATAGATAGATAGATAGATAGATAGATGGATGGATGGATGGATGGATGGATGGATGGATAGATAGATAGATAGATAGATAGATAGATAGATAGATAGATAGATAGATAGAGGTAGACAGACAGACAGATTCGTTCCATCAGTTCTGTTTCTCTCTAGGGAGCTCTAATACACAATGTTCCATGACTCTTCTGTCGTCTATTCTAACACTGTTCCGTCACTCATTGTAAATACTCTTGATAATAAGGACAAACCAGATAAACATGTTTAGGACGGTCTGAGATAGTCCTGCTAATTGTTTGCTTCAGAGGGGGAATTTGGAGACTGAAAGGATTGCTCATCCATTAGAGACTACGCTGATAATCAAAAATAAAAAAGGAAATTTTGTTCTGTGTGATAGGTTATATATTTGTCATCACCATTTGACCTGAATCTGTGATTCTTCCATATAGCTCAACTATGCTTCCATACTCATCTCTGCCTCATTTTAGCACTCACAAAAATGGGAATAAAGTTATTTCTACCTGTGGACTTGTGGGCATCCTCGCTTTTTTACCTTGTCTGAACTCTATGGTATGGTACAATATACAAGCTAGGCAACCATATGAAGACTCTTCAGTAAGGCAATTAGCTCCAAATGCAGCAGTAGGGACATTTAGGGGTGTTACACTGATAGTGGGCAGTGGCAGATTAGTACCCATTGTAACAGAAAGCAGGGCAAATGCACTGGGTGTGGTGATGCTCCTAACTCGTGGCACATTTGTCTCATTAAACCATGTGCAATCTAACTTCGCATGTAAGGAAACAGCTTTCCTACTAGGGTCAGTTCACCCTTCATGAACCGCTGAATCATGTAAGCTGTCGTTTCCTTTTTGCCCGCTTCTGCACTCTAAGAGGCTACTAAGTGAGCATGTTAAATTTGCCTGCTGACATTAACTGTTCGGATGATGCTAGGGTGGATTACCTGGGAGCATGCATCTGAATGACCGATCACCTTCCACTGACTTAGACATGCAGCGGAGATGAGGGGAGGGGAGGGAGGTGTGAGGGTGAGACCAGAATGTGGACCATGAAAGCAGGGAAGGGCAGCTTGGAGAAGTGTGGAGGAAGCAATGAGCATGGAGAGGAGAGGTGCAGCAGGAGGGCAGATGTCATCATGACCCAACCGAGGAGTAATAACCCAGACTGAGAAGAAGTTTTTTTAATTTTAAAGAAGAAAATATATGGAAATTTAACACCAAATTACATTACAAGATTATGTCTAGCAAAAGAGAAAATGAGTCTGAGCAAAAATTCCCGCGCTCTTCTAGAGGCATTTCTGGAAGTGTACTGTGGCAGTTTTATCCATTTTCCACATTGTATTTCAAACAAACAAAGCAGGGTCTTACAAAGTGCCCTACTGTACATTAAAGTTCTAAATGAGGACAGTTATGTGCTAAAATACTATAGTATGATATCATATTGTATTGTGTTATACATGATATATATTATACTGGAAATTATAGCATGGGTAAAGACAAAACTCAAATTATGCTCTGAATCATAATATTTCTTTAAATCACCTCCCAGTGTGATTCATCTATATAAATCACCTTATCTATAGTGATCCCTTTAGGATCAATAAATGGGTGTTTATTTCTCCAAAGAACATTAAAGTACTGCTGTATACCAATCACACCATCCAGGTTTCCTGCTCACTTAAATAATTTCCACCTGTTTTCACCACATAGGAAAGAAGCAGGAACCGAGGTTAAAAGAGAATTTCCTCCTGTGTTAACCAGTTAACTGGAACCAATACCTTGGCTTCCCAGAGGCTTCAGGTTCTCATGTAGAATGGAAGTGGCGCTCTGTTCCTCCAGATCAGTGTGGGCACTAGAAATGAAATGTATGAGACGTGGGTGCTCTTCGGCTTACAACAGGTTACAGCCCGAGAAGCACATCATAATTGAAAATGTGTTCCTATGAAAAGGCATTTAAGATGAACAAGCCGTGTTATAGAAAGAAAACCCTTAGTGATGAAATTGTATTTAGTACGCCTAGCCCACTGTCACCTTCTGTGGACCACACACCGCATGCATCCTAGAGCCTCAGCTGTTTCTCTGCAGGAGTCTGTGACTGCCTGGGAGCCACGTTTGCCGCCACGACCCAGCATCACACAAGAGTGCACGACTGCGGATGCCTAGCATGGGAACGGAGCAAAAGCAAGCACAGTTTCTACTGAATCGATCTCACTCTTGCTCCATTGTAAAGTTAGAAACCAGCAAATCAAATGAAGCAAGTCAGAGGCCACCTATATTCAAATAAGAAGGTGACTAATAACCATTGTTTTCCTGTGGCACAAATAATGCTAAACATCTTTATATTCAAAAAAACAGGCTGGGCATGGTAGTACACACCTTTAATCCCAGCACTAGCGAGGCAGAGGCATGTGGATCTCTGTGAGTTTGTGTCTAGCCTGGTCTACATAGTGTCAGGGAGAGCTACATAATAGAGAGACCCTGTCAAAGAAGAAAGAAGGAGGAGGAAGAAAGATTACAAAGAAAGAAAAACATCAGTGCATCATCCAAAATGGGGAAAGGGAAGTGATGAAATCAAATCAGGGAAAACAACAAATAAATCACTCTGGGGTGCATTTATCCTATGGGAACATGGAAGCAGAGACTTCATTGTCTCCGAGTTGTTGTATAGGAGAGAAACTGGTGCAGAAATGGAATAAATTCTACCACACACTCTATGAAATGCTATGGCTCCCTCGGAGGATGAAATTTCTACTTCTGAGTTCTGCTGGTTAGGAGGAAACTAAAATCACAGACAGTGGGCTGTGTCGTTTGGGTGTGCCTGTTTGGGTTTTATGATTTTTTTTTTAAATACTTAGAAATCTGAGTAACAGGTGCAGCCATCCTCCTGGAGTCTACCCT